GTCGCTGGCGTTTCGGCGATCGCTGGCCGCGAGACTCAAGAAAGAAGTGATCGGTTTGTGTTTTCTTTGGTTTGAGTTTGAATTCATTTTTCGTTTCTTCTTTCAGAACAACAAAAACATTGAAAAATAGTTTCGAAAAGAAAGGAAAAGTTTTTTCAGTTTTGTTTTTGACTTTTGTTTTGTATTTTGTTTCAAATATTCGTATTTTTGTGACAAAAACCAAAACATGAGTAAATCTCGCAAATAAACAGAACTTTTGTCAGAAATTCTTTGAAATTGAGTTTAAATTCTAGAATTTCTTGAATTCCAAGAACTTGCTGTCAATTGTTAGGATCACGCGTTGGACGCCGTGTCCATTGGTGTTGACGTCGATCGCGAGACGACAGTCGATGGCAGACATGATTCCGTTTCCGCACATTTCGTGAACCAAAGCCTTCAGAGACGGCGAATAAACGCGAAGCAATTCGTGAAGTCTCGCCTCAAACGGATCCAAAGGGTCGCCACTTTGACCTCTCGTTTCAGGAATCTCTTGCATCGCATTCAACACTCTGTCGTCCGAAATGTGGAGCAATTGGAGAGCGCGAGCGGCCGTCGCGGCGTCGAAGGGCTGTTCGCCAAAGATGGCGGCCGTCAACCAGATCTGCAAAATGAATGCAATTCAATGTTTACACGCGTTGTCAATGTTTTTACTGGATTTTGGTCCAATTTGGCGGCCATTTCCCCGAAAGTGAATCCCCGTTTCTTCTTCGCGCTCAAAAGAATGCTTTTTGTCTCACTTTTGGACAAATGTTTCGCAATTTCGACATTTGTTTTGAAACCGCGCGAAAAGAGCGGAAAAAACAGTTTTTTGGAAAACATTTCTAAAAATAGATTTTATTTTTAAACGTATTTTTTCTTCAACACAAAGAACGAGAGAATAAAGAAGTCGGAAATCGCGATCAAAGAGATGCCGGTGTACATCGACACCACGCCTCCCACGTAACAGATCTAAGGGGAGAGAGAGGGAGAGGGAGTCAGTGCGTGTCTGTGATCACGTGCGCACAAACCATGTCCAGAATCGCGAAGAGCGGCGAGTATTTGTGGATCGTGTGCTCCGTTGTCCAGTAGCGGATCGACACCACGGATGACCGGTTCCTTTTCGCCTCATTCCCCGAATCCCAGCCCTAATCGAGAGAGACAGAGCGTGAGAGAGTGGACGGGTGAGAGAATGGCACACCTTCTTGCCGTAGTACTCGAAGGGCAGTTTCTGGACACTGAGCTCGTAGTGGTCCTGCCAACAGCTCGGCTGACAGCGCATCGAACACTGCATGCGCTTCGCTTTGTCCCAACACATGCCGTAATAGTTGGGCGCTAAGGAACACACACATTGTCAGAGCGCGCGACACACAGCACAGCACTAACCGTCTCGGAAGCGCCACATACACCACGAGAGCGAGCGGTTGGCGTCCAGACCGTTGTTGCGAATGTACGGCAGTTCCGGCGGCCAACAGAAGCACTGCGCGATCGTGTACTTCGAAGTGCAGCCGGATATGCATTGCTATGGAAACGGACTCTTAGTTTGGAAAACACTTTTTACTTCAAACCTTTCGCGACAACGGAATCGAGAAGTCTTGCGTCGCGTTCACTCTCCGGCCCTCCGATTGGACGTAATCGAAGCAATTGGTGGCGTACGGCGTCTTCAGCATTCGCGTCGACTGTCTCTTGATGTAGAACTGGTAGTAGAAGCCCGGCTCCAGGTTGTAGCTGTTGGAGAGCGAGTTGCCCACTTCGGTGTTGTCGTGGATGGAGATGCGACCACTGATGGGCAGTTTCCAAGACGTGTACTCTTTGGGCTCGAAATCCAGTTCGAAGCGAATTATTTCGTTGGTGTCGAACGAGACCTCGGATTTACCACTTCGGTGTTGTCGTGGATGGAGATGCGACCACTGATGGGCAGTTTCCAAGACGTGTACTCTTTGGGCTCGAAATCCAGTTCGAAGCGAATTATTTCGTTGGTGTCGAACGAGACCTCGGATTTGGCTGAAAGAGAAGTCGTTTATTATTTGAACGTCAAGTGCGGGAAAACTGACAGCAAGTGCCGAGAAGGCGGCAATTGTCGGGGCGTTTCTCAATTCTGGCCATTTGGTGGAAATACGTGAAACAAATGCCGTCCTTCTGGAGAGAAGTGATGACCGCTTTGTCGCTGCACTTGATTTTGCGCGTTGTCTTGTCTTCGGGATCGTATTGAGTGTCGCACTCCATCTTCTTCACGAAATCAGTCAATTCGGGCGCGAAATCCAACGTTTTGTTTAAAGTCGTGTTTTGGATCCAATGCTTCGTGTAGTTCTCCACGTCTTCTCTCTGTTTAGCAATGGTTTGAGAAAAGGCGACAATTGCTGTCATTCTCACCGAATCTCCCAATTGTTGTCTCAAATGCGGAAACTCTTGCAATAAATACGCCTTTCGGACTCTGGAAGAGAGAAAAGTTTGAGAAAGCGATTCCAAGGTTTCATTCTTCTGACACATTGTTGTTGCAGAGCGTGACGGCCGGGAACTGCAACAGTTTCATCTCGTCCACCACTACATTGACGTCCATCGGGAACGACGAGTACTTCTTGAAGATGTCTATCGTCTGGAATAAAGCCATTCCCACGCAAAACAGTATGAAAACCGTTTTCAACACATTCCTCGGCGTTAGCGACGACTTGCGACCGATTGGCGAGCGTTTGGCCGACGCTTTCGACTCATTGCTGAACACAATGATTGGCGTCAAGTTCTGCGCGGCTTTCTTCGGCTCAAAGCCGGAGTTGTTGTATCGGCGGTGATAGTCGTCGTGATAGACGGGGTAATCGCTGATTGTGGGCATCGAAGGCCTCATTTCCACTCAAATGACTGTTTAGTGGGGAAAACATAACGAGATTTGGATTGCAATTAATTTATTCAGAAGAGAGAAACACCCGATTATTAGCAAATAAAATGCAACACAAAAACAAAATAATTATTGTAATTAGAATTCTGTGCAGAATATTCCGCAACCTCTCCTTAATTGTAGCCTTTTGTGCGATAATACGTGTAATTATGTGTCTCTTTGTCTCTACGTCTATATCTTTTTGTGAAATATAACCTATAATTGAGTTATTTTGCGATGAAATGAATTTAATTTGAAAATCAATTGAATTAACGATTCAGTTATCGATTCTCGCGATCAATACATTTGACACTCAATTACGTCAATACGAGACGTGATTTGTTGGAGACTTTATTGCTCTCCAAACAAAAAGCCTGAGAAAGCCTTGAGTCATACAAAGGGTTTGGCGATTCCCAAACGCGTTCCCAATATTCCCGACACAACGAGTGGTCGTCTTTGCTCTTCGCGTGACAAGTGTTGACCGCAGAGTCGATCGCAGCAGTGATTGTCGCTCACTCGCGACCCATAATCCAGAGTCGGTGTTGAGCCCAACCCCCGCCTGCGGTCCCCCTCCATCCCTGCACAGGGAAGGTGTGTCTCTTTTAGGGAGTGTCGCTCACTCTGTGATACGTAGTGTTGATTTGTTTGCCATTTTGTTGTGACAACGATGTCATCGATTGAGTGATAGTTTTTTGGCCACTCTTTGATCCGAACGGCGATCACATGACAGACACGAAGCGAAGAGTGAAGTTGTATGCGCTGAACGCCGACCGCCAATGGGACGACAGAGGGACGGGTCACGTGTCGTCCGCATATGTGGACCGCTTGAAGGGAATGTCGCTTCTGGTGAAGGCCGAGAGCGACGGCTCGCTTCTGCTCGAGTCGAAGATCTTGGCGGACACGGCGTACCAGAAACAACAGGAGACGCTCATCGTGTGGTCGGAGGGCGACAACTACGACCTGGCGCTCAGTTTCCAGGAGAGGGCGGGCTGTGACGAGATCTGGGCCAAGATCTGTCAGGTGCAGGGAAAGGACCCCTCAGTGGACATCACGCAGGAGATCGCCGAAGAGGAGGACGAGCGCTTCGACGACACCAACGACACCGGTCTGTCCGCCTCTGTTGCGCGCCATGTCGTGACCTGTCGTCCCCTTTTAGGCACGAACTCGCTGTCCGTCGAACTGCCGCTTTGCGAGAGCGACCGCTTGGACGAGATCAACGAACTGATGGTCACGTGTCTGCCGTATCCCATCAAACGCGAGAAGCTGGCCATCGCTCTGGAGACCGAGTCCTACATCAAGAAGTTGTTGGCGTTGTTCCGCGCGCTCGAGGAGCAGAAGAGCGTGCGGTCGCTGCACAAGCTGTACGACATCTTCAAGAACATCTTCCTCCTCAACAAGAACCCGTTGTTCGAAGTGATGCTTTCGGACGAGTCCTTGTGGGACATCATCGGCGTCTTCGAGTACGACCCCTCCCTCCCGGCCCCCAAACGCCATCGCGAGTACTTGAAGTCCGTCTCGCGCTTCAAGGAAGTGATCCCATTGGGCAACTCGGAGCTCGTGGCCAAAATCCACCAGACCTATCGCGTGCAATACATCCAGGAAGTGGTTCTGCCCACGCCCTCCGTGTTCGAGGAGAACATGCTGTCCACGCTCTCCTCCTTCATCTTCTTCAACAAGGTTTGCGTTCGCTTTGTCTCCCTTTGTGTCAAACCGTCTGTTCTTTAGGTGGAAATCGTTTCTCTCATTCAAGAAGACGAGAAGTTTTTGCGACAACTCTTCGCCCAACTCTCCGACGAGTCGACCGCAGAGGACAAACGCCGCGACCTCGTGCTCTTCCTCAAAGAGTTTTGCACTTTTTCGCAAACACTTCAGCCGCAGAACAGAGAGAACTTCTTCAAGGCGTTGGCTTCGCTCGGGATTCTGTCCACTTTGGAAGTGATTCTTTCGATGGAAGATCCGACCATCAAATTGGCTTCCGTTGATATACTTACTTACGTCGTCGAGTATTCGCCGTCAATGGTCAGGGAATACGCGCTCCAACAGGAGAACGACGAGGTATGTCACGTGATTGCCCGTCTGGTCATTGACCCCTCTCTGCCCTCAGGAACAGTTCATCACAAACATAATCATCGAACAAATGATTTGCGACTCCGACCCCGACCTGGGAATGGCCACTCAGTTATCCGGTATTATCAAACTGCTTGTGGATCCCGAGAACATGTTGGCCGCCACTGTGGTCAACAAGTCGGAGAAGACGGACTTTCTCAACTACTTCTACAAACACTGCATGCATGTCCTCATCGCTCCCGTTCTCGCGTCCACTCAGGACGACAAAGTCGTGCAACGACTGGCGCAACAACAGAGCGGCCAATCGGCGCAACTGCTGTCCATCATTCTGGAACTGTTGGCCTTCTGTGTCGAACACCACGCCTATCACATCCGCAATTACATTCTTCATCGCGAACTCCTGAAACGCATTCTTCTTCTCATTCACTCCAGACACACATTCCTTGTCCTCAGTAAGTGCTCTCCCACTCAATCACGTGACCGCCGCTAAGCCCTCTCTCCCCCTCTTCAGCCGCTCTGCGATTTGTGCGCAAAATCATTGGTTTGAAAGACGAGTTCTACAACCGACACATCATTCATTGCAATCTAATGGCGCCGATCGTCGAGCGCCTCATCACAAACAACGGCCGATACAATCTTCTGGATTCGGCGATCGTCGAGCTCTTCGAGTTCGTTCGCGCCGAAGAAATCAAGTCTCTCTGCGTTTACATAATGGAGAAGTTCTGGAAGCAGTTGGAAAGCATTGATTACGTGCGCACTTTCAAAGGCCTCAAACTGCAATACGAACAGCACCAGGACAGGCTCAAGGACAAAGACACGTCCGTACCTCTATTGCTGTGTCCACCACTAACCCCCTCTTCTCCCGACAGGAATTCGGTGCTTCTGTCGCGACGCTTCCGCAGAGACGCGCGCGATCTCGAGGACGAGGAGGAGATGTGGTTCAACAACGACGACGACGACGACTGCGACGCCAACTCTCTCTCCGATTCTCTCAACTATAAACTCGAGGCCGAGTATGACTTCAACAAGAAGGCGCTCGAGCGCAAGAACATCGGTAAGCGCTGCACAGGAGGTGAACGCGAACTCTGATTGTTTTGCTGTTTAGGTCTCTCCTATCAAGACATCGATTCGGTGAAGAAGTCGTTCGAATTAGAAACCAACCAAAACAAAAGCACATTACGTCCATCGACGCCCCGAAGGGCACCCCTGACCACTCCTACATCTCAGTCATCGCCCTCCGACATCACGTCTTCGCGAAAGGTGAGTAGTGTTGCGGTCAGCGATGGCTGGACTCGTGAATGACTGTTATTGCCATTATTGCAGGGTTTGGTCGATTACGACATTCAACCCGACGAAGACTCGGACGAAGAGTCGGGCGACGAGAGTCCGGACTCGGATTCGGAACATATATCAGCCAAACGCCAACGACTGTCCAACTCTTAGTTCTTATAAATATTTGAAACATTTTTCGTATTTAGACTACAATTATGTAAAAGACAAACAATTCTTATATAAATAATGCATAAAAAGATTAAAACGTTTTCTAATCTGAGATTTGTTTCGCAATTATTAGGAATTTCAGTGTTTTATACATTGAATACGAATTTCGAATATTTGTCGGAATTTTCATCGAAATATAAATATTTATATTAAAATTTCATGTAATTTAATGAATAAATCATTTCTTGATTTGTTGTGTAAAAAACAATTCAAAATTTCTGTAAAATATTATTTCAAAAATAAAATGAACCAAAAGAAGAGCCAAAACGTGTTTTTTGCTCGACAGATGTCCGCAAACCCGAAACCGGTCTTCCGTACAGAGAGGCCAGAGTTGTTCCGTCAGAGCGAATGCCGATTCCTCCGTTTCCCGCAAATCCCGGTCCGAAACGAGACGATTGTTCTCCGAATGGACGATAGAATGGATGGCAAACACTCATTGCTAACAAATTCAACACAAATATCATCAAAAATACTCTCATTTTCCACTCTTTTGTCGAGACTTTCACGAAAGTTACGAAAAGTTTTTCAGAACTCAAACTATATTCAAATGTGTTCTCGATTTGAGATGTCTTTCGCTCACTATTTCTTATGCATGAAATGTGGGTCAATCTGAGTCTCGATTAATGTGTGTTTTATTGCCTTTAATTGGTTTATCTCTCGGAGACTGAAATCCATTGCAATGCGAGTCACGAGAAATGCAGACAATTATCTCATTTGCAAATCAATTATTTTAAAAATAAATCAAAAGTTCAATGATTTCGAAGGGAAAGCAAAGCGTTTATTGTTTCCAATTTTTGGGACATTTTTTCTAACGATTTAACGATAAATATGTTTAGAATTTAACAAATATTTGATTTTAATTTCCGATAAAAATTGCATTTCGTTTGAAAACGAGATTTGAATTCATTTTTTATACAATTTTTTCAAACGAAAAGCAAATAAAGAAACGAAAAATGAATTCCTTTTACAAAAAACTGCGGATATTATTAGTGGACGTAATTTGTGGTCAAATCTGAACATTGAATCAAATGTTGAGAAATATTGTCAACAAAAGTGTCAAACAATTAGTGTTTGGTTTGAAAACAATACAAACAAAACATCGCAAACATATAAATAGCGCACAAACTGTCACTCGTTGTCACTCTTCCTCATCAGTGGTCACACAAAAGGTTCGCAAAGAAGTCAAACACAAAGCCATGTCTTCGGAGTACGTCTTCACGAATGACACGCCGGGTATGAAATGACCGCACATTCGGTCCCTTTTCTGCTCACAATTGCTTGACATTTGTGGGCAAAAAAGTACCAAAAACTGACTCAATATTCTTCTTCTCCAAAAGTGGTTCAATTGGACGCTGAGATCGCCTTCAATGGTCTCACAGACGAAGAGAAACTTTACGCGCATTACTTGTCGAAGAGCTGTTGGTTTGGATCCATTGTCTGCTTGTTTCAGGTCTGTTGACCCAAACTCTCAATTCATTGTCTCTTTTGTTAATTGTATTTTTCGACGTTTTTTGTTAAGACTTCTCCCGAATCTCCGCTTATATTCACTCTCTTTCGGCGTTTATTTGCCGAACAATCGGTCGAAGAGTTGAAAGTTTTGGCTCAAAGTGTGGCTCAATTTGAGGACAACGAGTGGCGGGTATTTCTGTCAACTTTTACATCAAAACATTACATTTAAACTCTTTTCTCGCAATGAAAGGCATTATTAGTGTATTTGTCGGCGTTTTTGTCAAATATGGGAAATTATCGCTCTTTCGGAGACTCGAAATTCATTCCCGATTTGTCCGCCAATAAAATGGACGCTTTTGTCCGCAATTCC